GAGGTGCCCGACCAGTCGGAGTGGCGCTGACGCGCTGCGCGCGACCACCAGCCAGCTTTTGGCGGCGTCGAGGACGGTGCGTAGATCGCGCCGCCACTCTCCGGTCCATCCGGAATTTTGTCGTTTTAGTTAGCACTGCTGCTGCAGACAGGGCCCGCGTGACCCCATGCCCTTCCCATATCTCGTGAGCTGAGGCGTGGCGTCACCCCGGTGACCGCCCACAGGTGGCGGATCGCGAGCGCGGCGGGTGTGCCGCTCGAGCGGACCAGGCTGAAGCCACCTCAGGACCCCACCTCGAGCCGGTGGCGCCACCCGCGACGCTGCCCGCCTTAGCCGCGCCAGCCACCTGCTCGCTGCAGCCGCAGCGCGCGGTGCCCGACCACCGGCGCGCCCGCCCGCTCGCCTTCTCGCGCCGCCTCTCGGCGCGCAAAGCCGCTCACACACCGCGTACTCAGCCATCGGCGCGACATCACTCCCGCGCAGGCACCTCGCGACGGGTCGGCGCACTCGTGCGGCTCAACGCAGAACTACGGAGCGACCTCCGCCGCGGCTCGGCGCTGCCCATGGCAGCAACAGGTGCCGCCCCACCACCCGCCTGCTGCCTCTGCCTCTCTCAGCCATGCGACCCCTCCGCCAATGCACACCTCAAACGCGACGTCAGATCCCGCTGCGACTGGCAACATTCGCGGCGATGAGGCCTCCGCCAGCACTGATCGTCACAACTCGTCTGTTAAGCTACACGTTTTTGCCCTCTGCAGGTGAGCGGACCGCTGCAGTCGCGGTGGAGCCGCGGGGTGGGTGAGGGAATGACCTTTTGGCGCGGCGCTGCTATGTGCCTGCGCGCTCATGGCGCCTTCAGGGGTGCACCTGAGGCGTGTAGACTGCGGGGCGCCGCGATAGCGCGGCGCCGACGGTTGTGTCGCGCACTGTCACACCCACGACACGGTCACAGTGTGTGTGCAGTGCGTCCACTCCGGCGACCGTGACGCCGTCGGCGCTCGTCAAAAACATCTACTGTGGAGCTCTAAGTGTGGTTACGTGTTGTACTAGTGATGCTGCACTAGGCGGCCCGTTTTTAGCAAAAAGCAGATTCCACATCGCGCGTGGTCGTCGAAAAACCGCATGTTCGCCCGTCTTGGACCCTCTTCGTACGGCTCCAAAAACCGTTCCTTAACGACGGCTACGCGGCCCGGCGGTCGATCTGCGCCTTCTCAGCGGTGGAGGGGATGTGGGCGGTACGTGCAGACTGCGTGGTCATGCGACGGTTTGACGAGTGCGACTCCCAGCGTCGACTGGCTCCGGCTCAGGTCGTGGGGCATAGCTCGGGTGTAAACGGGGTCTGGGGAGGAAGCCCCAGCGGCCCGCCGCAGGCGCCGCCGGAGGCTGGCCCGCCGCAGGCGCCGATTTTTTGGCGTTTTTTCTCAAAATTGAGGGATTTCTCATCTAAATTCTCATCCAAAATCGAGCTCGCTACGAGCTCTCTAACTGCACAGCATCTCCTTGTTGAGCCTAGCGGCGCCCGTATCGCCCACGCCCATATTCCTTTTTCTTGCCCTTGGCCCTTGCTGCACTCAGCCGCTCAACCTCCGCCAGTCTCTCCTTGCTCGTTGCTGGCGCTGCCGCCCCCAGTACTGCGATTGCAGCTCCTTGGCATGCCGCGCCGCCTCCATCTGCTGTGCTTCCCACGCTGCCGCTTCCTCTAAAGCAGCGCCGCCACTAAGCGGCGCAACCAAGTTCTCGCACTGTTTGCATGAGCATGTGTCCTGCTGGTGCGGCGCACAATCCGCGCGCGGCGAGTGAGAGTAGAAGACTGACAGCAGGAGCTGCAGGAGCTGCAGGAGCTGCGCAGATCGGATGGGTGGTTGGTCGTAAAATTCTGTTTTGGGACGTCCCTTTTACGCGACGTCTTTGGGATTCATTCCGCGTCATCCCCTGCGCCTCCACGAGCGGGCGGCCAGGCCGCAACGGGCTAGGCAGCGGGCCGCCCATCGCCTCGCGTTTGCGTCCAATGGCACGTCCAGCAAAGGAGCTCCTCTCCTGGCAAGACCTCGTCCGGAGCGGTCGCCTCTCGCGAGCCCAAGACAGGGAGGATCCTGCCGCGCCTCACCTGCGAAAGGTCCGTGTCAAGCATCTAGTTGCGCAGCAAGCAGCCTACACGCTCCGCATCCGCATGCCGTGCACTCGCACGGGCGGCTGCAACGGCTGCATCATCGCGCAAGATATGTCGGCAGATCGCGGCTCCACCCGGACCGGCCTCGTGCTGGTCTGGAATGAGAGGCGGCACAAGTGCGCTCTCCGACTCGAGCAGCTCGAGGCGCCTTCCCCTTCTGCCGGCATCGCCGCCACACAGGCGATCGACCCGCCAAACACTGTCACGCCGGGAGGGCCGCCTTTACCACAGACGGCGACAGCCACGCAGGCGGCTGAGGTGGACACCGGGGCAGTCGCAGAAAGAGCAAAGGCAGAGGAGCCCGCACTGGCACCTCCGGTGGCAGAAAAGCCGAGCAATCCTGACGCAAAACCAATACCCAGAAAGAAAGAAAACGGACCTCCCAAGGGAGGGATGGGAGGTACTCAGATGTATGTATGTATGTAGGAAGGTGAAGAACAGTCAGGCTCGGACTGGACACCGACGCGGTATGGGTGGACGCAAGACAGATGATGACGACACGCACGAGCGACACACAGACGCACGAAACAGGGTCGCTGGCACTTGGAGCACTTGGAGTGCAGTCAGTAACCTCACATCCAGGGCCGGGGAGCTGAGGAGCGCAGCGGGCCGGATGATCGGTATCGGGCTACGGGCTAGAGAGCCCTGACCCCTAGCTAGGGGGGTGGCGCATTCGCAGGGCCATAACACGTCTCCGAGGGATGGTTCTGCGCTGCCGGGTACTTGGGGGTTCCCCTTAGCTGCGGAACGCACCCTCTTCCTGTATGTATGTATGTAGTAAGGTGAAGAACAGTCAGGCTCGGACTGGACACCAACGCGGTATGTATGGGTGGACGCAAGACAGATGATGACGACACGCACGAGCGACACACAGACACAAACAAGCTCACAAGACACACAGCCAGCGGGCTGCCACACATCCTGAGTGGGCGTACACATCACTCAGGCCACGTCCCCCCTGTCGCCCCCCCCAGCACTCCAAGGTGCCAAGAGACAAACAACAGCACAACAACACAGACAGGCGACAGGGGCGAACGTGTGAGACTAGAGCAGGCTTGCTCCGCCTCTAGCAATCTCGTCGCCGGCCGCAAGGCACGGACGAGACCGTGTGTGGGGTCTTGTGAGGTTCTTCCTCGTCCCCCCATGATATTTTATTTCCGTGCAAGTCTCTCGTCGACGGCCACGAGAGCGCGCTGGGCATGGCGTCACCGCGCCGCGAGTTGGTCCCTGCCGACGAGGACGAGACGAACGGGCTGATGGACGAGGACATAAAGGCGCTCGAGCACTCGCGCAGCAAGCTGCGCCGCCAGCTCGGACTCTGCGCTCTGGTGGTCCTCGCGGGCGTCGGCATCGTCTTGCATGGGAGTCTGTCCGAGGCCGCGTCGCCTGCGACGCTGCGCCTGGCAACGTGGAACATCGCCGCCATCAACAACAACCCCTTCGAGTACTGGATCACGCACAGCGACCCCGACTATAATACGCTGATGGCCGACGTGCAGGCGCGCCCGCAGCGCGCGTGCGTCCACTCGTGCGTCCACTCCTTATACTGTCAGACCGCACATCGCAGAACCGCAACGCTCATCCTCTCTAGACGCACACGCCCAGCAGCGTGCGTTCGCTTTGGGGTGCACCTTGAGCCAGCCTCTCAGGCGTTCGTCGACGCGCCGGCGGAGCGGGACGTGCCCGTCGAGGAGGTCTTTAGCGAGAGCCGCTGGCAGGAGCGCATCGGCGCTCAATGCTGCCGCGCGGTGGGTGGTCGCTCACGGCTGTCGGTGTGAGCAGGAGCTTAAGGCGCTGATGGCGGCAGAGGGGTGGGACGTGGACGGCACGGAGGCGCGCTGGCACGAGGACTTTCGGTCGCGAAAGATCATCTCTGGCTTCCTCAAGGACCGCTGTAGACACACACACACACACACACACACACACACACACACACACACACACACACACACACACACACACACACACACACACACACACACACAATATAGCAGCACCGCCACCACCAGCACCACCACCACCACCACCACCACCACACACACCACTGCTCACGAGTGCACACCACACGTACACGCTCGCCCTACCCCAGGACCGCTCCATCGGCGAGAAGCGGCTCGCCTCGATGCCGGACCGCGTGACCAACACCATCCACACGCGCGGCGGCAGCGTCTCGTGCCGGCCGACAGTGATCAACTGCTACGAGGGCGATCTGGGCAGCGGCGACAAGTGGTGGGTGGAGTGGAAGCAGTTCATGTTTGCGACCCAGCTTGCGACCGGAGACGGCGACAGCAAGACGCGGCCGGCGGCGATGCTCAAGCCGATCAAGCGCGCAAAGTACCCGGCGGTGAGTGCGGAGGAGGAGGCGATGAGCCTTCCGCTGCAGACGCTAAGCCAGGCCATCTTCGACGCCATCCTCGTGCACATCGTGAACAGCGTGTCGCCCAGTGGCCGGTGGCAGCAGCTGCGGCAAGAGATGTGCGACGCGCTCAACCGGCACAAGGACACGCGCACCCTCGAGATCCTGCAGCAGACGTATGGCACAACCGACGCGGTTTTCCTGCAGGAGGCGGCAGCCTCCTTCCGCACCAGCGCAGCAAAGCGGCTCGGCGGCCGGTACATTGTGGCGGCGCCGTCGACGCTCGACACGTCGCGCGACCAAAACTCGCTGCTGCTGCTGCGACGCGACCTCTTCCTCGAGGCGTCGCTGGTCGACCGCACGGAGGAGGTGATGAAGACCTTCGACAGGAATGTGCCGGTCGCGCCCGGCGACCTGTTCGTGCTGCAGGTCGACGACACGCTCGGCCGGCCGTACCTGCTCGCCTCGTTCCACGGGGACACCAACGGCCTGGCCACCATCCCCGTCCTGGAAGCGGTGACCGCCCTCGCCGCGCGCATGCCCGAGCGGCGACTGATCTTCGGCCTCGACGCCAACACGTATGAGCACGAGGCGCCGGGCAAGCAGGACGTGCTCGGGTTCGCGCGCGCGTACGTCGCGAAGGGGCTCACCTCTTGCTGGGGCGACACGCCGGACCCGACGAACCACACCACGTACAACGCGCGCACCTACCTGCAGGCCCAGCTCCAAAAGGCGGCGAAGCAGTCCGAGACGGCGGCCAAGGGCGACAAGAACCCAAAGGACTTTTTGCTCTTCTCTCCGGCCTCCTTCACGGTGCGCTCGACCACCAAGGACAACACGGGGGAGAGGCGGTACGTCGAGGACATGGTCTTCCCCACGCTGCAGTTCCCGTCCGACCACGGCGTGCTGTCGACCACCCTCGAGGTGCAGCCGCCGAGGCTGAGCCGGTACTTGAGGCCGAGCTTGCTGCACCGGTGACGCGGGCGGTCTGGGCTGTGGAGCCGGAGTCGAGCGTGTCTGCTGCAGCCGGCCACAGCCTCGCTCTGGTAAGCGCCGTCGGTGATGACCTCGCTACGAGCGCTTTTGCGGGCGACACCTGCCAGTGCCGCACACACACGACACAGACACACCTGCCCCGCTGAGCTTAGCTAGCAGGGGGCTGGCTGCCAAAATCTGGCTGTTGGCTGGGAGGGGGGGGGGGGGGCGACCGAAACGCGCGGGGCCAGACGTGTGTGAGTGTGTATATGAGAGACGGGTGTGGGCGTTGTCTACGGAATGAATTAGTGGCTGTGTAAAAAACACGTTTGCCGCTCTGTCCACGCGAGACCTCCATTAAGATTAACTGCCGTCGAGCGCCCCCAGCGCGCTCCACGAGGCCGGCAGCGGCGCCTCGAACTCGAACGCCACGCCGTCCACCACGAGCCGCAGCAGCGACGCGTGCAGCGCCATGCCGTCAAAGCCGTACCGCTCCTGCAGCTGCGCGTTGCGCCGCGGGTTGCCGTAGCGGCGGTCGCCTGTTTTCGCACCCCAATCTGGGTAAACAGGGTCTCCCCACACCTCGGTGGGCCGCCGTAGCCGGCGGCCGCCAAAGATCGGGCTTCCGGCCGAAGCAGCGTGCCTCCGGATCTGATGCGTGCGGCCACCTATTCACAGCGCGTGTTGCTCGCTTGTGGCAGCTCGATCCGATCCCGGCTGCCAATCTCGCCCACCGACGGCGAGCGTGAGGTCGGCGCTGGCGAGGAAGCCGTTGTCGCTCACGAGGTCGTAGGCCGTCTCTGCACTCACCTACGGGAAGGCTCGGGGAAGGCTCGGGGAGGCTCGGGGAGGCTCGGGGAAGGTTCGGCCCTCGCAGCTCGTTCTCGGCTCTGCTGTTCGCGGCTACGTCTCGCCCGCTCCGCCGCAACCCCGCGAGGGTTGCGTCGGCCCTCGGCGCGGTTGGAGAGTGCGCCCGCCCATCTGCCGCGCCTCGCCGGCGGAACTCCCACCAGCACACCGCGGTACTGCTTCACGGCCGTCTCCGCCAGAGCTGCCTGAAGCGCCGCCGCCGCCTCGGGCCGCTTTGCCAGCAGCAGCACGCCGGACGTGTCGCGGTCGAGGCGATGGACAGGCAGCAGCTCGCCGTAACCGTCAGCACGGAGCGCCGCCAGCAGGCTGTCGCTGCCTTCGTGTACGGTGATTCCGGCCGGCTTGCTCGCCGCGAGCCAGTCGCCCTCATCAGAGAGCACGAGCGACGCGGCAGGAGGGCAGGCACGCGAGGGCGCGTGCGATGGGCGCAGCGAGCCAAGCAGAACGCACAGCATTTCTGCGCAAAAGATTTCTGCGAGTAGGAGGCGCGCCCAGCGACGCGTGTCGGATGGAGTCCGGCCGCGGGTGGCTGGAGGATGTGAACTGCAGCCCTGTGGCGAGTGTCTTGTCTGTGTGTCGCTCCTGTGTGAATACGGAATACGTGCATTTTGGGAGCTTGGAATACGGCGTATTCCATGGAATACGTGCTCGGACACCGACGTGCAGATGTACCTGTTCGAAACCTTCGGCGGGTGGTGCAACGCGGTCAAGCGGCTGTTCTATTATCTACCACACTGCCAGATGAAGGACAAGGTGCGCAACAAGCTCTCGAAGCGGCAGCACGAGGACGAGGCGAGCTGGTCGACGCGGTCGTGGCTGTCGCTGCAGGCCCAGCGCATGTCAGTCGCGCTGCAGCTCGCGGCGTGGCAATTGCCGCCAACCCGTTCGAGCGGATGAGTTTGCAACACTCCCTGCAGGGGCTGAGCGATGATCTAGGCGCGGAGGACCCGAGCGATCCGCTGCGCCGCAACGCGACGCGGTGCGGTGTCGACTGGTACGACGCGCCCGCATGCCAGAGCACGGGGCTCTGGATGGCCCAGCCGACCCAGCCAGCGGTCAAATTCTTCGAGCATTTCCTCGTCAAGCTACAGCGCTCCTGCGAGTGGGAGCAGAGCCTCTTCAATCGTGCCCTTGGTGATATGGTCCCCTCGACAGCACCAGCCATGCGATGGATCGACGCCCTCAACTATGCGGTGTGGAGCAAGGCGGAGTACGCCAACTATGGCGTCGCCACGGCACGTCGCGCCCTGCAGCTGCCAGCGGGACGCGTCGCTGTTCACTTCGGCTACGTCCCTCCCAGCAACAAGAGCGAGATCATGGCGGCCGGAATCTGCAGCCTCGCCAACCAGCCCGCGGGTGCTGCGTACCCCGGCGAGGCTTGGACCGACGCTGAGGCGAGGGACGCCGGATGTGCCGTCGTGTCGCAGTCGTATCTCTACGTTGAGGGCGGTGGCGCCGTCCGACTGCCCGACCTCACCGCCGTGTCGCGCGGCGTCATCGTGCGTTTCAACTCGGAGATCTCCTCGCTGACCTTGGACCGGCTTGCCACTGTATCGGGGCCGCTCTCCGTGCGAGAGAATCCGCAGCTGGAAGTGATTAAGATGGGCAGCCTCGGGACCGTTCGGGGCGGCATCACGGTGCGTCGCACATGCACCGCACCTAGGCACTCGATCCGGGATCCCACACCGCACACTTGAACAGTCAGGCCAAGGAAGCCCCCTCTCTTCTTCAAAGCTGGGTGCTGTCTCGCAGGTAACTGGCAACGTCCAGCTAGCTTCCCTCAGGTTGCCTCACCTCGCCTCCGTCGGGGGCTATATCGACGTAAGCGAGAACGGGCAAAGCGGGGCGTGGCTCTGCGAGCTAGGGGAGTACGCTGGCAGTTGCTCCCAGCAATCGTGATGTTTGTATGTGAGAGAAAAAGAGAGGTTCAACAAATGGGGTGGGGATTTTCGCACGGCCGGTCCCTCGGCGGCATACAGCACTGCCAGCCAGCCTCTTCCTCCTCCTCAAGGGCTGTACTATAGGCCATATTGCGCCGCCTCCTACTGGCAGCCGGGCGGGCGCGCGCCGCGGGCGCCTCGGCGCGCGCACGGCTCGCAAAGTTCGAACGAGTACTGCCGCCCGGCCGCCTCAAGGCTGCCGGACGGCAGTACTCGCCTCGCAAGGCGCGCACCGGCTGCTCTGGCTGCTGCGCCGGCGGCCGCTGCGCTGGCCGCTGCTGCGCCGGCTGGCGGGCGGCACGGCCGCCGGCGGCCGCTGCGCCCGCGCCTTCCCTCGCGGGCCGTCGCGCCGCGCGCGCCCAACTCTGATGGTACACGGCACGCGTCGTCACACAGCCGCGCGGAGAACAGGCGGTGCTGTGCGTGAAGCGCGCGCGATCTCGTACTTTTAAGGCTGGATCCGGCCATTCCAAGGGTATACCTTTGAGAATCCCCAGCGTCCCACCCTCCTAGTCACACTCTCAATATCTCGACTCTCCAACACGAAGTGCTGCGATCGGGGGTGGCCCTGTTCTTTTTTCTTTTCTTTTTTGGGTCTTGTGGGCACGGTGACGAGGCGCTCCTTCACATCGGCACCGCCACCGGGACCAGATCCAGGGTGGGTAGGGTAGTACGCCCTCATTGTGTTTTGTAGTGTTGATGCGCTCCTTCATGATGTGCATGCAGATCTTACCTTACCTTACCCCACGAACGAGGTTGCGAGGCCCGTGCGCCACCGCCGGGCTAGCCACCCCCGTTGCTCATGAGGGGCTAGCCTCCTCCCCCGTGCCCGCTGCGCCAGACCCCCACCGTAGCAGAAGATTATGTCCCCCACCCACCGCGGCCCCGCAATCCCCCCCAGGCCAGCTCCGGGTCAGTGGCCGTGCCCCGCACCAGCGGTGCTGCAGTGCTGATGGTCGAGAAGCACGAGACCGATTGCCACGGTGCCCACGCAAAAGGCGGCGAGGCAGAAGACACGCTCGGCGGCGCTTTGCACGCCCTCGTACACGCGGGGCATGCACTCCGCCGCGCCAACTTGGAGGTAGACGCCGCCGCCAAAGGCGAGGAGCATGCCCACAGCAGCGTCGTCAATGGACACCGAAAAGATGAGGACGGTGCCCCACAGCACGCCCGTGCCGGAGACGAAGTTGAGGAGGAGGGCGAGAGGCACCTTGAGGCCGCCCTGAGCGGAGTTCGTCAGGATGAGGAAGTCGGAGAGCTCCTGCGCAATCTCGTGGAAGATGGTCGCGGTGGCAATGCTCCAAGCCAGAGAGCTGCCGCAGTAGCGGAAACCAGTGGCCATGAAGATGCCGTCGCAAAAGTTGTGCATCAGGTCGCCGATGAGAACGCCGCTCAAGACGCGAATTCGGTTCGTGGGGTCGGCGACGGTGATGGACTTCGGTTCCACCGGGCACGGGTCGTTTGCCTCCACCTTGCGGCAACAGCAGGTGGACAGTAGGCCAGCCGGGTCTTGGGAGGGCGAGCGGCGTGAAGCGCCTTCGCTGAAGGAGCTGGCGGCCAGGACGAAGCGAAGGAGCTGGACGGCCAGTTCGAAGAGTGAGGGCGCTATGAAACCGAGCAGTACCATTGAGCCCCAGCGGGCGGTGACAACCGACTCGTCTTTGCTGGAGGTGCCGACGAGGTGGGTCGCCTCGAAGAGGATTAGGTAGAAGGCGGCGGCGAGGAGCGCGCCCGCGGCGAAGGCCGACATGATTATCAGGAAGCGGCGCTCGTGCCGGTGATATAGCTTGCGCAGGCCGGGCCCCAAGAAGACAACGCCGGAAAAGGTGATGCAGTTGACAGCAAAAGCGGCGCCGATGCCCTCCGCCCACGGAATAGGGTCGTCCGGCGCCTCTGGAAGCTCGGCAATCGGCTCGAGGTTCGCGCCGTCGAGCGTCTTGAGGTAGTGCGAGTCCTGCTCAAACGTGATAGGCAGATTGTCTGCGAAGACGCCGAACTGCCGCCCCGGAACTGCCATGCGGTACGTGGTCTGCCAGACTCCCTCGTCAAAGATGAGGTCGCTGCACGCTTCGGCGCGCAACGTATCGCCGTCGTGACGCTCGTCGCACGTCGAACTGAGCAGCAGCTCTGCCCGGCTGCGTGCGTCTTCAAGAGCCGCGACCGTGGTCCCGTTGAGCTCGAGGACGGCCATCCTCATGCTCGGCGCGGCGTATGAGCCATCAACCTTCTGGGAGATCCATCCGAGTGTGGGAGCCTCCGTGATAAAGCTCCCGGCCCACACGAGCGACATGACCAGGTAGAAGCTCGCCTTTGCGTGGATTCAGGCAGCTTGGCGTGCAAGCAAGAATTCTACGAGCCGGAATCGTTCTCGAGGTTCTCGAGGTGGATATCCTTTGGCCGCGTTGGGTAGCGAGGATTGGTGTAACCCGAGCCACGGAGGCGTGTTTTCTGACGGCCGACCGTCAGTGCACGGAGTTGCCCCTTCTCCGACTGCCCCGGCTAGTTCCCGAGTTTCGCGGGAGTGACCCCATGCGTCAAACCCGAGACCTAGCGCGGGTGGGTTGGAGGGAGCTCGCCCCGTTCCTCCCCATCGGGCCGCGTGAGCGGCCACGCCTCGCAGATTCGTTTTCGCGCCTGGGTCAGGCGCGCGGGGCATCCCCCGGGTCGCTCGACCAGCGATCCGAAGAGTGGCCGCTATGCGAGGGAAAGAGCGGGGCCCTCGACGCCTCAGTCCGGCCCTCCGAGGGGGGAAGGGAAGTGCGGGGTCCCCACGGGCGCCTCAGTTCGGCCCTCCCGAGGGGGGGAGGGGAGCAAGGGGGTGGGGGGATCGGGGCGGTGGGGAGGGGTCTCGGGTTTCATGTGGCTAAAGCTTGCCTTTCGGGGAGGGGCCTCGGTACAAGCGAGGCAAGCTCAGCTCGACATCTTCCCCTCCTCCCCAGAGGCAGCGAGTAGGCAGCGAGAGGAGGTCTCGAGCGCCTATATGAAGGTATGTGAGATGGTGATGGGAATGGGTGGTCGGGCGGGCGGGCGGGCGGGCGGGCGGGCGGGCGGGCGGGCGGGCGGGCGGGCGGGCAAGCAAGCGGGGAGCGGCGGGCGGGCGGGGCGGAGCGGGCGGGCAGGGTTATCGGGGGAATCGTGTCCACAATCAGCGGCAGCGGAGCAGCAGCCGCAGCAGCAGCTGCTGCAGCAGCAAGCAGCAGCCAGATTGCTGCCGTTGTCTGCGCCGCGATCCGCCGCCGCGCCGCCGCGCCGCCGCCGCCTGCGCTCGCCGCCGCCTCGTAGACGACTCCTCTCGCGCTCAAAGAGCCGCGCAGCGGGCCGCGAGGTTGAGGTCAGAGAGCAGCAGGGTTGAGATCCACAAAATCGGCCAAATTTGAGGTTGCTCGAGAGAGCCTGGAAATGGTCCCGCGCCGTTGCCCCGGTGCCGGCGCATCACGTCTCAGCCGCGATGGGCCGGTTCCGCCGCGCAGTCGAGCAGCAGGAGCTCGGAGGCAACTTTGTCGACAAACTGGTCGAGCCAAAAATCAGCGAGGAAGCGGCACCGGCGGCACGCCGGGACGAATCCGGACTGATCACATTGTTCGGCACCGCGGCGGCGAGCCGCCGCGAGCCCACAGGAGAGCTGGGCGCCGCGGCACCAGACCGCGCCGCCAGCGAGGCGAGAGCAGCAGTCGACCGGCCGTGACATGGCAGTTAGACGGCGGGTATCCTACTTGAGTATTCAGCCGGAATCGGGGTTATGGGGGGTTTACGAGGTGTGAACGTGAACAGAGTAGCCAGATCGCTGTCGATCGTTACGGCACGCATGGGGGGCCTCCCGGACGTATGATCCTAGCCCAATAAGCTCCACGGAGCAGATTTGGATTTTTGACAGAATTAAATGCACTGCCCCCGCTCGGTACTAATAGTCGTAGTTTTGGGGGCGGCGCCCCTCACGGCACCACACTGACGCCGGACAGCCCGAGATTAGCCTAGCAGTGAGTGGGAATCGCCTGCCGGTCGGCTTGGCACGAGCCAAGCACTTGGGTGGCCGTCAACCGAGTCCGAGCGGCGCCTGAGGTGGGTGCCACGGCGTCCGCACGAAGGCGTGGCGGGGTGAGGAGCCAGGGGTGGTGAACACCTCCCTGACGGGAGCGCGGCGCGCCGGATGGTCCGCCGAGGCCGCCGCCGCCCCGGCGGCGGCGATGGGGGCGGCGGGGCCGACCCGGCCGGCGTTTGTCGGCTCCACCTACAGAAGTGCACAGTTTTCCGCGCCAGCACGTACTCTTTGCCGCCTACAGGGAGAGCCCCAGAGCGACCACACCTCGATCTTCTTGGGCGGCAGCTGTCCCTGCTCGTCGCGACGTGTGCACACTCTGTGTACCCAGGCACACCACAGGGCGCGGTGTCTAAACGGCATGATGTGGGGCAAATCCCAAACGTCTGTGCTCTGCAGGCGGTGTCACTGCACATTCAACATGAGTCCTGCAGCAAGCGCCGCAGTGCCCGTTTGCATGCCTTCTTGAGGGTCTTGAACCCCTCCTCGACCCTTGCCTCGACGTTCGCCTGGTATGACCCGCCGGTCCCTAGTGCAGCGGGGAGGCGGTGACGGTGTGCGTGGGCGTGTGAATAGGCGGCTCGGGGCTGTGTCGCACGACAACACGCACATGTCCCGGCGCAGAAGCGATGCCCTGTCGCGCCGTACTGAGGGCTCTGCTTCTGCTGGATGCCCTGTATGGTCGGGGTGTTCTCCTTGGACGGGTCGCCGTTGCAGCCCCAGTTGGGGTCGTTGCTGGTCAGGTTGAGGTAGATAGCCTTGGCGTGTGTCACAACCGGCGGGTTGCCATCGCTCTCAGAGAATCCCGGCAGGTTGAGGTCGGGGTTCCACGACGAGCACCCAGTGATCTGCCAGATACCGCGCATCACGCAGCCGCTTCCCGCGGAAGAGTCGAATGGATGGCCGGAATCCGCCGTGCACTCCCCAAAATCGTACGACTCGCTCACTGCGATAGCCAGTGCAGGAACACACATCTTCTTCATGTTTTTGTAAAGCTTGTTCTTCGTGCAGACGTTGTCACCGGCCATCTCCGCGTATGCCTCAAACCACTTAGAAGCAACATCGCGAAAGGAGAGGCAGTGCTGCGGTGCACTTCCTCGGGCCTGGCGAATGCTGTCGCTGTCGTCGTAGGATCCTGGATCATAGCTGTCGTAGCCATAGCTGATGGGCTGCGGGCCGAAGCCCAGCATAGCGGTGAGCAACGGGAGCATGCTGGCTCGGCGGGCTCGGCGGAGAGCGGCTCGGCGGGCGGCTCGGCGGAGGCGTGCCCGGTAACCGAAAACCGAGTGACGTCAATGATTACATTCAGTTCCGTCGAGATTAGCAGCAAAGAACGGATGCTCAGCTGCTTAGCTTCCCGGCCTTGGAAGACGGCCCAACGCCTGGGTGTGATGTTATCAACTGCACTCCAAGTGTAGGCGCCCCCGACCGCGGATTTAAAAAGGGCGCGGTTGCGGGGTGCGGTGCGGTGCGTTTGTGTGGTGTGTGTCCTTCGCTTGTCTAAAAACAACAAAAATGCGGGAAATTAATTCTTTTCTGGGATCCCATTCGTGGGAGCGCATTCTGAGGCGGGATGTACCAAGCGAGCGATGGAAAACCGCACGTTCTGTCGGGCTCGTTGATTTGCTCTCTGCTGTCACGTCCGCCCTCCCCGGCCAATGAGCCTCTCTCCCTCCTCTCCTTGACCGACGACTGCTTCGCATCCGTCCTCGAGAACGTTTCCGCGCCGGAGCTCCTCGTGCTCGGCGCAGTCTGCAGGCACAGCATCGGCACCCCAGCCGCCGCCACTGCCGCCGACGATGATCTTACCACTGCTGCAAGGCACCTCCGCGCGGCTCTCGACGACGGCGCGCACTGGGAAGGCGCCTTCCGGCGCCGCTTTGAACCCGTGGCCCGCCTCCTCTTCCGAGGGGAGATGCCGCTGCCGCCCGTGCGCCAGCTGCCCGCCCGCGGAAGAGGGGGCGCCTGCTGGAGGTTGCACTACCGCAGCTTCCGGCGGTCGTGGATGGAACCGGGCGGGCACGGGCGGCTGCTGCTCTGCATTCACGGGCGAGTGTACGACGCGACAGAGTACATGCTAGAGCACCCTGGCGTTCGCCTGCTGAGAGCACGCCGACCGGTGTGAACGGGTCTCTTCACACCTCTACGCTGGGGTGCCGGCGCCCTACTGGGCGCCCCCCGCTCCCTTCCCCTCAGAGCCCCCCATCCCACTAGCATTCCCCCGCGGTCCCTCGCGGTCGCGCGACGCCGCACCAATGGCGCGCTGTGCCTCGTCCGCGAGCGCCACCCAGAGCTGCACCGACAGTCGCTGCAGCGCAAACGGCATCCATTCGCGCGCCGACCACGACGTCTGGTCGTACTGCCACCACGTGAGCTTCCGGCCCGCCACCTCAGCCACCCGCATCAGCAGCTCCTCCACCCCCGCGCTCATTGCGCCGAACTCCTCGAAGAGCAACGCCTCCACATGGCACTTCCCCTCTGCATCCGTGTACTGGCCCTTGACAGCCTCAACCGTCCCGGTCCCCGTCCGCGGATCCCACCGTCCCACCCTCCCACCCCTCGGGTTGCGGTCACGCACTCGTCAGAGGCCCAACTCAGAGGTTCAACGAGGAGGCGCAAACTCGAGACGGAGACGCGAGCTCCAGACCGCAGACCGACGCGACGACCACGGGAGGTATTTATGATGTTGGCATCTTAGAGAGAGAGATTTTTATTGTATCTTATGGCAGCCTGCAGGCATCGCGCCGGGGGTTCTTCTTTCTGAGTCG